TGTGTGTGTGTGTGTGTGTGTGTGTGTGTGTGTGTGTGTGTATATTTTTAACGTTGACGGGCTACCATAGCCCTGCTCTATGGGAAACACTGATGACAACCTACACCAATCAAGCTTTCTAATCGTGGTTTCTGTTGTTGCTTTAACAACCTGACAACCTAAAACCATGTGGGCATCTAACAGGTTCTCAAACAATTCYACTGTTAAGACATGTATAATTCAGCTTAAAAAAACTGAGCTACAATACCAGTGGCGTAGATAATGATGGGATTAAGATGGTGTACATTTTTTTACATACACTTTTATTTTGAACTTATATTTAAAATGACCACCAACCAAAACCCGAGCTCTTGGTTCACGATCTGAAAGCATTTTGAGGAGTTAAGTCAAAAAGTTGATGTAAATAGTTGCCTGCTGCTTACTGTGAAGCTGTTGTTGATGTTCTTAGTGCTCGTCTCTGCCACACTGGCATCTGATAGGTCCACTTCATCAAAAATTAGAGACTGATGGGGAAAAACAAAACCATGCAATCAGAGTTTTCCTATTTTTTTTAAATATCCAGACACATTTTGTCGTTTTCTGACACTTTCATACCACATAAAACCTTTCAGCAAGACTCTTTACTTTTAGTTCTGATTCTCAGTTGCTGCGTTGTTCTTTTATTAAAATACAGCATCAGTACCTTGCAGTCTTTGGCATAGTAGAGAGTCCTTCCTCTGAGTTTGAAGTACCTCCTCTTCCATCTCTGGAAAGAGCTGGTCTGCTTTAACAGGATTCCCTCCTTCACACTTTTCTAAAACAATGAAGAGGGTGGAAAGGAAGGAGAGAAGTGGAGGAGAAGAAAAAAAAAGAATAGCACATTTACCAGCTAGTCTTTTGGAAGTTCACAAGTAAACAGACGATGATCAGTTTGGGTATTGTTACTATGATATCCTAACAAAACACTGCAGAGGCAGAAATATGCACCTGAAGAGCTGTTTCATCAAACTTTTAACCTATAAAGACAAATTTTGTGCACTTTTTTACAGGATGTATTCTTTTTTACAGAGGAACAGGTGGTTAATTTGAAGAATAAATGAAAAATGACAGATATAAAATAGGAACCACATGTTAAGCAGAAGTCATGAGATAAAGCAGGGAGGAAGTTCAACATGGATCTCATTTGAATAACCAAAACACACGATTTGGTTTTTACGTTTCCGCTGAGCTGATTTCTCCACCGTCTTCAYTGTGTCGGCTGCTCTTGTATATTAATTGTCTGATTATCATGTACTGCTCGCCCCGCTCTCTGTTTATGAGTACATGCCCTGAGAGGACACAACACACCAYGGGTAATCAGTTTCAGATGAGACGCAGAGTGTCGCCATGGAGACCAGCATTCCTCACGATGGATGAAGGGGCAGGCGGAGGGACAGATACCATCTTGAAACTCTCAGCACGTCAACTCGCCTCCTCCTCCGTACCTGTGTTGCGTTTATCAGCCAGTGCAGCAGCATTCCTGCACGATTMGATTAGATTAGCCGCCGTGTCGTGTTTGTGACGGTTCAGAGATAAAACACCACGTGTCACAATGTGTTAAAAGAATGATTAAACAGCAGATACTACAAGCAGCTTCAAAGCTTCATGCACTGTTTCTAAAAATATGTCTGAAAACAGCTGGGGATCATTTGGCAACATCTAGTACATCCAAAAAACTGCTAACCATTTTAGTTTTATGCAGCCTAATCCAGGAAAACTGTTTCCTAATCCATTCTGTGATGCAGAGAAGGCAAAGTAATAGAGCAATAGAGTCCTTAAAATAGAGATTTTTTAAAAAGCAGCATGATCTGACCTTGCAAAGACACTTTAAAAATATTTTTACCTTAACAAATGCCATTGTAATGTCTAATTGGGCTGCACAAGATATCGCCAATATATCATCATCACAATATCAGTGTGCGCAATATTCACATTGCAAAGGGCAATAATTTTTGACAAATTTATTTCAAGAGTTTTGAAGTTGTATTTGTGCAATATTTACTAACTACTAGGACAGAGTCTCACAGCAGCAAAGTTCACAGCAGACACAAATGACCTTGCCAAAAATGATAAGGGTCACATAGAGTAGGAAGTACAAATTAGAAATGTAAAAATTATTTAATGAACCTAATATTGCCATCGCAAGATTTTCTAACATCATGCAGCCGTCCAATTATTTTGGTAAAATTTGATGTTCTCAAATGTAAATTGAAGTTTGTTGCAGACTACCTATAAAATACAATACAATACAATACAATACAATACAATACAATACAAGCCATACATGGAGATATAGACATTGTATTTTTTTGTAAAAAAAAAAGACATTGTATTTTTATGTTAAGATGAATTAGTTGATCAAATCTAATATACAGCATGATGTACTGTATACCACATGTGTCAAACACAACGTGACTCCCGTGTGGCTTGCCAAAAAAAATATATATTTTTTTACTTAGCATTAAATTTGTTTCTTTTATCAATGGTAAACTTTAAATTTATGATTAAATGCAACAAAATAAATTTAATAAAAATAAATGAAATAAAAATAAATTTAATAAATTCCTGTCCCTGAGCTGTTGGCTTTAAGTAACTGAGCAATTTAGTTGGATAGCTCAGTTTTAATGTCTGAAAATAAGCTGCTTAAAGTCAGCATCAACTATAAACTAAATAATATTTCTGTATTTATTACAGATTTAGTCAGTCATTCACTTAGTTCTTATCAGTGAAGAAAAGAGAAGAAAAGAGGACGTGTTAAAACTCTGTTTAGTCAAAGTTAAACATGAAACATCAAAGTTCATTAAAGAGGCCCTTCGAGGGCCACCATAACTCTCATGTGGCCCTCGGTGAAAATGAGTTTGACACCCCTGATGTATACTGTCGCAACATTTTTAAAATAAAAAGAAATTCAACCAAGATTTTCTCTAAACTTGTATAACTTTCTTAAACATGAAACTGAAGAAATTTAAACTGTAGCAAATACAATTTAATATTGGTACCAGTGGCAGTACTGGTATTGGTATTATTGGTTCCGAGTATCAGGGCATTTTGTATGAGTACTTGTAAAAATGCTGGTATTGGGACATTAGTAGTTTTTGCTATATCTTAACCCCTTAACCCCTGAAAGTCCTTAAAAGCCTTTTGACATTTTTATTTTATTTTATGTAAGGGTGTCAAACTAAAGGTAATAACCGGAGGAAGTCGTCTGACACCTTGTTTTTGTTTTTTTTAAGCCCCCGGCAGTAAATGTCTGGAAACTGCACAGTTTTTGCCCGCTGGTGGAACAAAGACTGTTGACTTTAGATTAGGGGTTGATTTATAGGGGTAGGGTTAACACTGGTGAATGGGATTTGTTTTTAATATGTTCACATTTTCTTCCACCATTTGACAAAACCATGTAAAAATTCCTAAATTAGAAAGTTGTGAAATGAAGACATGGTATCTCTAAAGTAATTTTACTGAATTTTAGTACATRATTTTTTTTCTGTGTTACCACAGAAAAAACAGTATTTATTTTGAAGTAATGATGTATTGCATCTTACATAAGTAGGTTCAGTAGAGCAGTAGTTTGGAATTTCCATATAAAYTCTGGAAGTGTTCAGCAGTTACAAGTAAGTTTGAGTTTTCATCATATTGCAAAAGCAGGCTGATGTGACAGACGAGCTCTAAGGGAAACGCGATGCTTGTAAGGATGTTTCTGTTGCTGAATTACACGATAAGAAAACTCTGCTGGGCTGTAACAGGGACTTTGTTGCTTTCTTTCACAGTGGTACGTCATTCGTCTAAGATAAAAAGCAAATCTTTTCATCCCGAACAGTCGCCCAAGAGCTGTTGGCTCAGTGGTTCTCTACATCACAACATAAAGCAGAAATCTGCCCCAAAGGAAAATTCAAGACTCAGACAGGAGTTTCATGGGCTGAATGCATAACTAGCAACAAGCCGACAGCCTGTATGAGCGCTTTTTAAATTTGCATGGGCAAGAAGGCCAAAAGAAGAAAAACTGGTGTTAAACCAAAAGCATCTCTCAAAGCTCATTCTTTAGCTTTTCCCATGTTTTTTTAGTTCTGCAATCCTGAACYGCTCTACTTTGTGCTGGCGTTTCTTACAAATGTGCCATCATGCCCTTAAGGGAGACAGAATCTATTATCATCAAGTTTTAGACTAAAGAAGAGAAAGCTGGCTGGCAGAGCAGTGACAGATAGGCTCACATTATGGAATGTTAGCAAGAAAGATGGGAACCAAAATGAGCTGTGCCAGCAGAAAGGAAAAACAACAACAGTCTTAACAAATGACCTCCAGGAAGTTGACACACAAAAGTAAGTTGGCAATCCCTGAAGGAGGGGGAAAGGTGTAAAGGTCTTCTAACAACCTGCCACATCAGAGATTACTTGAAGCATTAACAACTCTAATCTACCAATCAACTTTATCAACTGTCGCAATGGCAACACTAACAGAAGCTGTCAGTCAAGAAGCTAATCAGAGTTTTGCCGCAGTAATAAAGCTGAAGGACGGGCTGCGAGTTAGAGTCCAGACAATCTTGTACAGAAGTGGAGCCGAGGATTACATTCTGGCTTTAAAAAAAAAAAAAAAAAAAAAAAAAAAAAAAAAAAAAAAAAAAAAAAACATCAAGACAACAGAACGTCTTTTGTTCAACCAGAATAAATCAGCTGGTGAATAAGTGATGACAGCCTTCATAAAGTTGTTCTGTTGGGTCAAAGTCAAGAGCTGTTTGAGTTTAGATCTCTTCAGGCTGACCTATTTTCCTCAGCAATAATGAAAATACCTTTGATCAGGAAATACAAAAGAGGCACACTTTACTAAACTCAGAGAACAAAGGTTGTATTTCTCTGACTCCTTGGTTCAGTAGCTTAAAAGTTGCTCATGTGAAGCATTCAGACTTAGTGGTACATGATGTTAGAACCAAAACCTCTCTACTGGATGTTCATGTGTGCTTCCTGCACATTAAATTAATTACACCTAATTATATCTAACTAAAACCATTCAAATCTATCAGAGCTGTCCTAGTTTACAGACATTATTATTTTATTAATTTCAATAGTTTATATCTAACTCATGGGGACACATGAAAAATTAATATCACTTTCAAAAATCTCCTTTTAATCAACAATTAAGTTGAAAGAAAATTAGACCTGGTTTCTCACAACAAGAATGTTCACCTTCTGACCTTTATGTGTAGAGTTTGGATATTCTCCCCTTACCCATGTTTTTATTTTTTTCCCCCTGGGAAGTCTGGTCTCCAGACCTAAAACATGCATGTTAGACAACTCCGAATTGTCACTAGCATACCTTCCCTATGACCTGGACAGGAAATTCAAGAAAAAGTAAAAGAAAACCAGTTGATCTGGTCTGATGTTAAGAAAAATGTAGAAGTCTTGGGCAATTTTTGTTTTTTCATGTGTTGCTGTTGTGTTCATTTACTCTGGTTTACAGGTACTGATCTAACTGGTTGGTTGTCTGCAAAAAGCAACAACTAATGAGTAACAAGTCATATGAAAAATAAGTTTGTTTTTTTAGAAGAAATGCATGTTGGTGTTTTTATTTCCGTCATAAAAAAAATTAAATCTTTCACATGTGATGTAAAATTGAAGACAAATTTTCTTTTGAAAAGAGGAGCTGAATGAAGACGGCAGCAGTTTGGTCTTGGTCCCACTTGGACTGGGCTGTTAGTTTTTCCAATCCCGTCAGAAATAAACAGTCCTTCTGAACCGAGGCTGTTTGAAAAGCTGTCTACAACAGATAAAATATTACTGAGCA